TTTTTTAGTGTACTTTATGAATATTTGTAATGTACACAACAATATATAATACATTAAAGTTTTCTAGATATCAAAGTGTGTACGTGTGTGTATATACTGAAAAAAGCAGCTTTATAATATACTAGTAGTGTAATGCTAATGCATTTCCAATGAGCTGAAATACAATTGAAATGTATTTGAAGTACATTAAAACGATGCTTCAAATATACTCTAACTGTAGTTCATGAAGTATTAAAAGGACATTTTAAATGTATTTTAAGAAATACACTTAAATTGCACTAAATATACTTAAAGTGGTTCCAATTTAACACAATTTCAGTATATTAAATATATTACAAATGGATTAAAATCAATCTTAAACATATCTTGAAATACACTTAATATACTTAAAGTTGTTTCAAAATAATACATTTAATATGCACTTAGTAAAATTTAAATATAGTAAGTATGTCTGAAAAAGCACAATTTAACTATATTTATTTTTCACCTGGGATCACATCAATGATCTGTCACATGAATAAAACTATCCATATAAGAATAAAAGTAGTAGCTCGACAAGACAATATGTTGTTCTGCCAAACTACTACTCATTGCTACTAGGTGTTGATTTAAGATACAACAGGGAGCGGGTCAGCTATAAAGGTCAAGAAGGTGCACTTGCAATCAATCACCTGATAGTGGGTGAAAGTAAACAAGGCCTGATTTGACACCCAACTGAAAATCTCAGTTTTTAGTGCCCCCATGTGGTGGAGATATAAATCATAATCCATGATCATTGTTAAGTAATACAGTTTATTTCACTATTTGAGTACACATGCTATGCAAATACATTATTCATTTAGACTCTGAATTACAAAAATATATAAAAAATATATTTCAACCTACAATTATGCAAATACAGACTAAGAATTATAATGTATTTTACATACAGTACTTTTTTTATCTGTATTTTTATAAATGCACACTGAACTGTTTTTTTAACTGTTTTTGTTGTCGGTAATATTGGAAAAACAAAACAATTTAGAAAATCTGTTCACCAAGGCTGCATTTATTTGATTACAAATACAGGAAAAACAGTATTATTGTAGTAGTGAAATAACTTTTCTATTTTAATATATTTTTAAATTCCATGTTAATGCTGAATTTTCAGCATCCATCACTTCAGTCTTCACATGATCCTTCAGAAATCATTCTAATATGCCGATTTGTTTTTGTTTTTAAGAAGCATGGCTTATTATGATCATCTTATCTTATTATTATCTATCTTATCTGTCTTGTGATAGACTTTTTGTTTTTTATTAATATAAAGTTCAATAGAATTTTTAAAAGTCTTGATCATTTTAATGTGTCTTTTTTGAATAAAAGTATTTTTTTCTTTAAAAAAAAAACAACAAAAACAAATACGTATTTATATTACTGACCACACACATTTAAATGGTAGTGTGTATTTTATCTTCTTACAAGAGATGAAGAGAAGAATCACAGTTTGTAAATTAACCTCAAAGAAGCTGTATTTAAACCCAAAATGTATTTAAAAATCACTGTGACTGTACAATACATGATCTAATTATTAGTTTTCACTAAGGCTTGATTGCGAATCTAGTCTCAATGTGCACTTTTGCATATTGCTTAATGCTGTGAGCAAATGTATGTAGTGGATTCTGAGCATTCCGCTCTTTAAACAAGTAATGCTGTTAGTCTGGCAGGCAGTGACTCATTCACTACTTAACGTAAAACTGGTTAATCCAGATACACTGCTGCCTGTTTCCATACATGTGTATGGCCCAGGCTCTTTATATTTATTCCTCAGTAGTTTCGGTTTCATGGCACCAGCATGAGTGCAAGTCAAGTGACACTAAACCACCATGATATTGCTGGCATACGGCATTCACACAGCAGCAAATACAGACAGAACTATACCTCCACAGACTGAATGGAAGAATGCAAAAAGGAAATAATCAGAAGGCTCAGAATACATTTGATTTAAAGCTGAATTGTGCTGTGAATTGTGCAAAAGCTGTGTCAGTAGAGTCGACAGAACTGCATAAATTGACTGGTTTCCATTCCACACATCCTCCAGTTTGTCACAGGTCGGCAGAATCTAGTGCCGCCACATACTCCTGCTATTGATTCGATATCCAATATCTTTGGGCAGAATATTAAAACCAGCAGAGAAATTTGTTTTGAATGCGCTTTCCAGGGCAACCAACCGATGATGAATAGGTTACCTACAGTTGTCTCTGCAAATTAATCCAGGATGGGAGAAAGTTTTTTAACATCCAAATAATTACATGCTTGAGCTCTACCTTATGCAGTTTGTACATATGAAAACTCTTGATGAGTACATTGAGCATATTATATGTGTACACTGAGAGTACATAAAGGCATTTGGTTCATTTGATACTAAAACAGCATCTCAGACTTGCTCATCGAAACTCTGCTCTTGGCTCGTTTGCAGTTACATTACATTTGTAAGCAGTGGTGTCTTTTAGTAGCGGTTTGCATCATCATACGAGCTTAAATCCATATCAAAGAATTCCTCGAGTTTCCACTGCAGAGTTTCAAAGGTGGGTCTGTCTGCAGGGGAGTCCTTCCAGCATTCGTACATGATGTCATACAAATATTTTGGGCAGTTAAGAGGGCATGGCATCCTGTAGCCTTTGGGCAACTGTTGTACCACTTGAAAGTTCGTCATGGCTGGAGAAAGAGTGAAAAGCAACATTAAAATTATTCAATGCTTTGACGAGTTCAAAAACTATTGTAGTATGCAACAGTGGTAAAGAAATTGAATATTAAATGAAGTTCAGTGAGGAAGAGCCATAGTTCAAACTGATATTAATACAGTTTATCATTTTAATTTAAACACATTTGTTTATTTTTGTACAATAAACAATTTTTTTCTTTAGGACCCAGATTGTACAATGAACATCAACTGGCCCTATATGATAAACAGAAGGTTTATGTCAGACACACTGAAGGGCTTTTTTCCTTTTTCAAAAGAGTCAATAGCCTGTAGTTTACGTCACACCATGATTTGCTAGTTGCTATTTCTATTGGATTTGTGCCCCTGAAGGCTAGACAAATCATCAGTATTTTTTGTCTATTTTTCTCTATGAGAAAGATGGGTACAATACGTGCAATTATGACGTACTTGGGTAAGGCATCTGTCCAAACGTCACAATTTCATACAGTAGGATCCCAAAAGACCAGACGTCAGATTTGATGGTGAATTTGTTCTCGTGGATGGCCTCGGGAGCAGTCCATTTCACTGGAAACTTGGTTCCTTCTTTGGCCTCATAAACATTCTCATTTTCCATCTAAAGAAATCATGCAGTGAGATTAAAAGTACAGTTTTTGTATTTTTTATACAAAATCAGTGCATACATTATAGCAGTGGTTCTCAGCTGGTTTGCTTCAGAACATGGTGATTTATCGTAAAGAAGTAAAGAAAATGTCCTTAAAATTAAATAATATTTATATTACAATGAATTGAATAGACCCGACAGCATGCAAATTTATTGATATGACAAAGACTGAATAGGGAAATTGTCAATTTTGTAAATGAATAAACAATAGAAGTTAGGATAAACACTGGGGCAAATATTAAAAAGACTGACCGAATTCACACAACCTTTGATGTTGCTAAGGTTATGAATTTTCGTTGCATTTTATTCTTTGCATTTACCATGCATTTTTATGTTCTATACTCTCCGTGACACTATCGTGACAGATTGGTGACTCATTTTTGGGTTGCGACCCATTTGAGAGCCACTGTCTCATAGCTGAGGGGTCAAGCCTTTTTATAAAAACTGAGAATATTTCTCACCTGAATTACTCGTGCCAAGCCAAAGTCGGCCACCTTGCACACATTGTTATCTCCCACCAGAACGTTTCGTGCCGCAAGATCTCTGTGAATGTAGTTCTGCAATTCAAGGTATGCCATGCCAGATGCCACTTGTGCTCCCATTTCTATCTGATCAGACATTTGCAGAGAAGCACCTTTGTCTTCTGTATGAGTGAGACAGAATATAGGGAATAAATCGAAATGACACATCTTACATGTTTTAATTATGATGCACTGATAAATTAAGTGGGCTACAGACACTCCATCAACAGGTTTGTCTTGAATATGTGTAAATCAGTTTGACATTAATGTGGGTCATAACTTCAGCAGCACTGTCAGAGAGAACAGCCACACAAACTTTGCATGCTTCTGTAATCAGTTATTGAAACACATTAAAATGTAAATATTTGATTGTGCAAAAGATATGACATGACATGATAAGATATGATATGACGTAGTGTATGTAAAATTGATATTTTATTACAGTTTCAGAATAAGCTAACCTCAAAAACCTATGGTTTATGTGGTAAATATGATATCCTACTAAATATTTACACAATAAGGTGCCACATTTTTGGAACTGATGAAGGATACTGTGGGGGAATGGGATCTTGCACAACACTGGCCCTGATTATCTCTCCAAATAAGCTGCTGACACCAGGAGGAAAAGGTTCTGGGAAATGAGGCAGTTGAAGCATTCTTTCTATGGGTGAAAGCCTGATAGGGTTGGGTGAACGGCCCCAACTGCCGACAGAAATCCCTCCAGAATTGGAAACTTTTAAACACCCTGTTGGGCAATGATTTTAAACCCAAATATGCTGATTGATGTATGCCTTTTAAAAACCCCATTTATTAATCATGAATCTCACTAAAATCTTAATGATGGTATTCCAGACTTCTTCCCTTGCCTCAGTGTTCAAACAGTTTTTACACCTTTTGACTCGAGGCCAATTCACACCACGCCGACAGAAGCAGACCAATGTCATCAGCTGACAGATACAATACGTCACTTCTCAGACGTTCCAAGACCAACAAACACAGATTCAACAAGTTCAATCGATAGTTTTCACGTGACGTCACACCCTTACAGGAACGCCCACATGGAGGGCAAAACAAGGCTTTCCTCAACTGACCGCCAGTTATTTTTAGGAGGATTGCATTTAGTAGTAATGTAGTAAGGCCAAATTTGGTATACACCTTATTGATGATGCATACTTTGTACAGGCAAGCAGATGAACCCAGAATATAAACGCAATGCGCAAAGTTTAATATGAAATGTTTTCCCATAGAAAACCATTATAAAGAAGACGCTTAACTATTTAGCGCATTGCGTTCATATTCCGGGCTCGTTTGCTTGTCTGCATATAGCACGCATCATCAATAAGGTATGTACTAATTTCATCTTTTAATATCACTATTTTAAGGGCACTTTAAAGGGGTCATATGATGCTATTTTAAAGATCATTATTTGGTGTAACAGAATATGTACTTATCAGTCAGATGTCCGTATTCACAAAGGCACAGATCCTTAAACAAGGCCATATCTGCAGATGAAACTTTTTTTGTAGAAGCATTTTTTAAAATTTGAACTAGCACCTCATGACTACACCACGTCAATGTACGAGAAGCTGCAAAAGACACAGGCGCAAGTGGAATGTAGAAAACATGGTGACATAAATTTTTAAGTAAATATAATGGGCGATATATTTCGTCACCAAAAATGATTGAGGTCATGAACATATATTGCGCGATAAGTCGATATATTGATTATTGCCACAGGCCTACTTGTAACACTCCAAAGAGAAAGGAAAACTTGAAATCGCATCATATGACCCCTTTAAGTGTTTTCACATTAAACATTTTAGAATGTACCGCTGTTTTTAGTGATTAAAATATTGCGACAGGTGCTTTATATGGATTGCTAATGGCCAAAACTTGCATTTTGTTCACATATCTTTGTTTTATTCTTTTGAGAGGTAATCTAAATACTTTTGGATTTGAACAGATAGAAAATTGACGGGCTTGTGCTGCAGTTCTATGGATGTTTTGCCCGCCAGGTCTTCGAACCAGTCACATGACTGAAAACTATCAATAGGCAAAAGCAAGCACCAATCAATGACAACAGACACACACAGACAAAACCCGATGAACGCTGTCGGTGCCTGTCGGTGCAGAGTAAACTGGCATTTACAGTTGCGGTCATAACCTTTCACCAAATCTGCAAAATGTTAATATTATTAAAAAATAAAAAACAAATAATTTGACAAATTAAGAGGGCTCATAGAAATTGCATGCGTTTTTTTTATTTAGTACTTCCCTGAATAATATATCCCGCATAACATATGTTTATATATACAGAAGGCCACAAGACAAAATAATAGCTGAATTTTGTGTAAACTTCTGAAAAGAATGAAGAACGTGTAAATCTTTCTTATTTTATTTAAAGATCATATTTTTTTCATTTACTACAGCCCTTCAGAAGCTAATGCATTTTTATGATCCCTCTTTTGTTATAAATATTAACATTTTGCTCATTCTGCAAGGTATACTGTACTGGATATTAACCTTTACTGTAATGACCACAACTGCATGATACCATGCCACTAAATGCATTTATGACTTACTTTTAAAATGTGGCAATAAGGAAGCATCATAGCCTGTGTAAACAAGGCTCTCTCCTTCCCTCTCTCAATCTCTTTTTGTCCCTATCCCGAAATGACCCCATATGCAATGAAAGCAGTGATTTACAGTAATTTTATCACAGGTAGATTTAGAAGCTGATTTCCAAGAAAAGGATCTGTGGTCCTATTAAAACATTGTTTGTTTGAGCGTCCTGGCCAGCCGCACACAGAAAGCATTGTGTTGTTTAAGTTTTGGAAGTTATTAGGCGTGTAACCTAGGTAAAAAAAGAAACTAAAAAATCGAACCGTAAGCACTTGCACCACGGTTCAACTTAAATCTGACAACGCATCTGTAAAATGGTTTGTTAAAATTAACAGCACATAAAACAGTTTGGCTAATGTATGTTTCTGTCGATGGGTATGCATTCTGGCTTCCCAATACATTACAACAAAAAAAAACGTGGACAAACCTGTCACACTTTGTTCAATGCTAAGTGCCGTATGCTGGAATATGAGCAGTCATTTATGCCGTCATCACCCGGGTGTTGATAGCGAGACCTGAACAGCACACGTTGCTATCTGTGTTTAAACTAAACTCATTTAAGCCTTGCCAGTTTAAATATTAAAGAGCCAGAAGACGCGAATGAGAACTTGCGTGCGCCGTGAGAAGATCTGTGTGCGTGCAAACCTGCATCTCAGAACGCGTGCAAATATTGAGTTTGTTTTCAAGTCGTGCTTGAAAGGACAAATTTACACAAAAATTATGCCAAAATGCCTGTCTTGGTGAGTATCCTGGCAGACATAGTCGGTTGAACGTACAGTATCAGTGCACTGGATCCGTGCATTGTCTTAAAGTGACAGCACTTTTTTAATGTTAATCAAACAACAAAGGACAATGAAATCCCTCACTGCGCTTGATTGAATAGCTTTTGTAACTTTAATAAAGATTCATCTTTAATTTATACAGTCAAATATT